GCTCAGGTCATGATCCTGGAGTCCCGGGATCAAGTCCCACATCGGGCTCCCTGCTCAGCAGGGGGTCTGCTTCTCCCTCTGACCCTCTTCCCTCTCGTGCTCTCTGTCTCTCATTCTCTCTCAAATAAATAAATAAATAAATAAAAATCTTTAAACCCCAAAATCCAAAAATTTCTAAAGAAGTTTCCATAACATACTGGGTAGCAAGACCTAGGGTTGACCTGAACCCATTTGGTGACAAAACTGACCAGAAATAGCACAAGGCTGTTTATACTGTTTATCCCACCTTAGAGTGAATATTCATAATTATTTCACAGAATTGTTTCTTCCCAAGGTCTGACTGGGAATGTAGTGTAATATATTTTTTCCCCAAATCTGAATATTCTGAATATTCTGAATTCTGAAATTTACCTTCGCCCCAAGAAGTTTGGATAACATTGAGTGTTGACCCATTCACTCAATCTCTTAGGAGTCTCCATCTGGTTTCATGATTTTTAGTTCTTGACATTAATGATTCCTAAAGTTATATCTCTAGTCCAGACCTCTTTCCTGAATTCCAGGCTTATATACCCAGCTGCCTACTTGACATCTCGGATCCCAACCTTACCCTCCAGTGTCTTTGTTGTGCTTTCTTCCCCATGTCAGTTAATGGGAAATCCATCCTTCTGCTGCTCAGGCCATGTACTTGAAAATCGTCCTTGACTCTGATACTCCACATACAAATCTAGCAGTAAGTCCTGTTAGCGCCTACCATCCCAGGAGATCTGAAATCAGACTGCTTTTCATCATGGTCTCTGCCAGCATCCTCATGCATCTCTCATCTGACTTACCTCAGGGGTCTCCAAGCACTCTCCTTGCTTCTTATCTCACCCCCTAGGGCCCGTTTTCACCAGAGCGATCCTTTTACAGCATGGGTCAAATCATGTCACTATTCTCAAAACTTTTAAAAGGGCTTCCTATTAGGGGCACCAATTTAGTGAAAAGAATTTTCATTATAAAAATGTGGAAGCAGGGGCGTCCAGGTGGCTCAGTCGGTTAAGTGTCTGCCTTCCATTCAGGTCATGATCCCAGGGTCCTGGGATCAAGCCCCGCATTGGGCTCGCTGCTCTGAGGGGAGTCTGCTTCTCTCTCTGCCCCTCCCCTACCCAGGTGCGCAAGCGCGCGCACGCGCCCTCTCTCAAACAAATAAAATCCTTAAAAAAAATAAAAGGGCTTCCTATCAAACTCAGAATAAGAGCCATGGTTCTTATTATTGGATACAGAACCCTACATGAGCTGGCCCTCCCACTACCTCTCTAATCCTCTTTCCTCCTCTTCTTGCCCCTTGATCTCTCTGCTTCTGCCATACCGCCGCCTTCCTTGCCCATTTTGGTTTTCCTCCCAAATATATGCATTACCTTCTGGTCTAGGCTAGGATGTCATCTTATCAGTGAGGACTTTCTAAGCATCTTCCTTAGTCACTGCATATCCCCCTTCCCTACTTTATATTTCATCTTAGCATTTACCACCATTCAACAGACTATATATTAAACTTGTTTATTTCTCTCTCTTCAAGAATATAAGCTCTTTTACTCTTTTCTTCTCAGGAGGTTCTCAGTTCCTAGAACATTGACGGGTGCATTGTAGGTGCTTAGAAACTGTTGAACGAACGTGTATACCCTATTTGATTGAACATTCATTTATTGAGTATAACTACTATGTACAAGGCTCTCTGATAGATACTGGGTGTAAAACATAGGACACATCTCTGCTTTCATCAAACCTATTATTTAGTGAAGGCCTCAGTATATAAATGAGTAGATTTCCAATTCAATTCAAACAGTGATTAAGTATTGTAAGTAGAGGTGTGTACATGTCAATTCTGGTGTAAATTGGAGAAAGAATTAGCTTCTTGGGGGGAAGTTGGGAACATTTGAATTGATTCTTGAAGATTTTGTTGACAGAGCTGAAAGGGGTGAAAGGCATTAAAAGAAGTAAAAAAAAAGGTAGTAAAAAATATACAAAGACATGGAGAGATGAAAACACTGTGTTTGAGGAGCAGAGAGTGGTTGTGTGTTGCTGGACTGGAAAGTAGGTTTAGCTCAAACTGAAGAGCCCTCTAATCATATTAAAGAACTGACTCTCTCCTGTGAGTATTGGTGAGTTCCCAAAAGTTTTAAAGTAGAGAAAGGATGTGATCAGAGCTATGCTTTAGAAATTTTTCCCAGGTTTTGATTTGAATTTCCCTGATGGCTAATGATGATGAACATTTTTTCATGTGTCTGTTAGCCATTTGCATGTCTTCTTTGGAGAAGTGTCCATGTCTGCCCATTTTTTGACTTGATTATTTGTTTTTTGGGTGTTGAGTTTGAGAAGCTGTTTATAGATCTTGGATACCAGCCCTTTATCTGTAATGTCATTTGCAAATATCTTCTCCCATTCTGTGGGTTGCATCTTTGTTTTGTTGACTATTTCCTTTGCTATGCAGAAGCTTTTTATCTTGATGAAGTCCCAAAAGTTCATTTTTGCTTTTGTTTCACTAGCCTTTGGAGATGTATCTTGA